AATGGCCAGAAGCAGTAGCTACCAAGGACATCACTGCCGAAACAGTGGCCCGCACCTTCGTCGAACGATGGGTAGCAAACTTTGGCTGCCCTTCAACCATCACTACAGACCGCGGACCTCAGTTCGAATCTGAACTTTTCGGTTGACTGACCACACTTTTAGGAATCACTCGATTCCGAACAACTGCCTACCACCCACAAGCAAACGGGTTGGTAGAACGTTTTCACCGACAACTAAAAGCTTCACTATCAGCTGCAAACGTTTCACAGTGGACCGACGCTCTTCCATTCGTCTTAGTACGTATTCGCAATGCAGTTAAGGCTGACATTGGATACACTACGGCTCAACTCGTATATGGAACGACACTTCGACTTCCAGGAGAATTCGTGGATCCTTCGTCCTCCTCAATGAACATGGATCTAACCTCTTACACGAACAGGCTTACAAACGCAATGCGTTCAGTTAAACCTGTTTCCACTAGACCGCAATCAACTGGTGTTTTAGTTCAACCTGACTTACGATGTAATACACACGTCTTCGTACATCGAGACTCTCTTGGCCGACCTCTCGAATCAACATATGAAGGATATTTCTAAGATTTTAACGTGAATCTAAGTACTATATAGTCGGTAAGAACGGAACAAACGATAGCATCAGCATCGATCTCCTCAAAGCTGCGTATTTAGAAGGAAATCCTGTCCACGTTGATTTTCCTTCGGCACAATCGAACGACAAGGCTTCGACACGTATAATGCCTCATCCGACAGCCAACACGCATGTTGATACTTCGACAGTATCTGGAAATAAACTTAAAACAACGCGTTCTGGGAGAAGAATAAGATTTCCAGAACATTTAAATGACTATTGCACGTAAAGCACCAGTTAATATTTTGCTTCATCTCGATTTTCCATAGCATTATGTGTAATATAAAGGCGCTTGGTCATGCATCCGCACCAGATCACGAGTGAGAACGCCGTGTTCAACAACCCCTGCAATTGCTAGCCAGATTGGATCAGACGATCTTCGATGTATTGATAGCTTATCAAATATATCTTCGAACCTCTTCGCTTCAGTCCTTTGATTTCACTTGATGGGTACGATTCATATTAGAAGGTGTTACTGGTTAAAGAGTTGTCAAACTCCGAATACCTGTGTCATCTTCACTGTTCTTCCGGAGAGAGTAACTTAAGCCAAGTCATCACATACTAATAAATATCAGATGCATATTGTAAATAATCTTATATTCACACCAATGTTGTGAATTATAGATCATGACAGTAAAAATGGTGTACTTGTCTGGTATAAATATGTTATGTATATATAAAAATTAGTTACACGTTGCATGTCAATTTATAGGTAGCTTAACATTTTCACATCTTTTATTACCTTGAGCTGTTTTTCTCATTTAGAATGTGTAATTATGCCAAAACACGCTCTGTAAGATCATGAAAACAAGACGTTGGTGCATAAATGGACGATCGTCGAATTGGAAGTGAACTGTACAGTACAAAAAACATACTGCAGACGCCATACTGTCTATAAAACAAACAGAATTTTGCGTTTATTTAAGTGGTTATCACTACTGTTCTTCAAGCAGCTGCTCAAATGAGCTTTATTTTAGGGATAATTTCCAGCGAAAGTACGAAGTAAGACGTACTTCGGGGTCATGTTATGGGTACTTAATTTAGATGCTGTGTTACGATAACGTGTTCAAAGTTGATAGATGTGACATTTCGACTTTTGTTTCTTTCAATTCGTTTATTCTTGTCAATTTGACAGGATCATTGCTGGGATGTATTACGGAGCCGTAATAACTAAAGTTGATACTAATATCATTACGGTTTCTGGAAAAACAGGTACAACAGTTCAGGAATAGTGTTTCTGACGTCATGCAAACATAATATCCGTGAAATCTTCAAGATTATTGTCGACACTTGCCTTGAACTCATCGAGTTTGTTAGTATCTCGAAGGAATTGTATATCAAAATTCTCGGTTATGTTTGTCACGTTGTTTAGGGCTTCTTTTAGCTTCAATTTCAGTTTGGCCCCACCAGGGGGGTGATATGAAGCCAATTCAGTCACTTTATTTGATTTTGTGTCTTCCTTGAATATTTCGAACATCTTATTAACGTTGTTGTGGTCGACTTAGTTCTCTGTAGTGTGGTCCAGAGAAACACATGAAGCTTCGTGTGTGCTTGTAGTATGTTTGCAACTGAAAGTGAAGCTTTCAACTGTCAGTGAGATGACCCAAATACAAATGGTTCTGTGAGCCTTCAACACCGATGCTGACTGCATTAGCTATATTGTACACAACCTAACTGAGTACCCTTGGTAACGTATATGAACCAGATCACAACGGGGTACACCTTTTTACGTATTCCTTTTCACTACTAGTCAGCTTAGGCCAAACATATCGGTAAATTTCCAAACATCGCAATCATTTATCCCCGACTAGGTTTGGGGAATTTCAAATATAAAGGTGTCAAGGACATAGACGTCGTTGGACTTCAAATATCTGTGGCATCTTGGCATAGCCCGTAGTAATGATTGGAGGGCAGCCGAAGTTCACCATTACTCATTTGGAGAGTCGGCGAGTAACTGTTTTAGCAGTAATGTTCGTGACGAGCTCTGCTTTTGGACTTTGTGTGAAACGGTTTACACATGTCGAGAGATATGATTATTTGTTTGATTCCGGTAGAAAGTTCATCAAATCAAGATGGACGCGTCCAGAAACAGGGTCCAGAGTTTTGAAATTAACCACGTCATCCTAGATTTTCTGACAGCTTGAACAGAGGTTCGTCCACCCATTCGAATGCCCATCCATTCAAGGTCAGCAAATTCGTGGTGTTATAAGCTTGATCGCTGCTTGAAAAACCGCATGAGAAAGTCTGCGCAACTTATTGAGGATACTACGTCACGTAGTAAAGCTTTACTATATGTTCCATTTGTCTAATTCATATTTTTAGGATTGTTAATGATAACTTATGTTGAATCTTATTGTCTTCTTTTTGAAGGCATGCGGGCGTAGGACAGTTGATTTCTCGGTAACTGTTTACGAATTTATACGAGACAAGCCATCTGCAGCTACGTTTTTCCACAAATGTGTTGTATGTCTGAAGTAAACTGCGAAATATAGTCCAGCTATCGAGATTCTCGAGGTGAGCACGTGTCTGAAGATGATCTTAAAGAGAGGTTAAGAGGTTTGTGACCGATGAAAAGAGTGAATTCTTCGTTCTCAACAAAGTGTTTAAAGTAACGTACACCACAATAAATGGCCAGGAGTTCCCTATCAAAAGTACCATGCATCTACACAGTGTCTAGCAACGATTTTGAGAAGAATGCAATCGGCTGACAGGTGTGATGAACCCATTGATTCGTGACTCCACCAATTTCAGAGTCGGGTGCGTCTACTGCGATGATAACAGGTGCTTTAGTGTCCTGATGTGCAAGCATGGTTGCATTAGCGATAAATTCCTTAATCGTATAGAATGCTTTTCCCGCGGTATCGTCCAAATTGATGGATTTCGCATTTGTTCGGTTAGAGTTTTCATAAGAGACGCGCAGTTTGGTATGAACCGTCTAAAGAAAACTTACTAATTCGTTAAATGTTCGTGGTTCCCTGATTGTGCTCGGTTCTGTGTAATACAGAATGGCTGACACTTCGCTTTTTAGAGATCAGATGCCCAGAGCATCAGTAGTGTGTGCGAAGTCGAGAGAGTCGGGTTCGATTTGCCGTTTCTGGGTGTGTTACAGTATTGCTGTGCCTTTGTAGCCGTTCGAAGACAAGGTCTGGATGGTGAAGATGAGATTCACCTTCCGCAGTCATCAACACACGCATGTACCAAGTTGAGATCTCAAAAGGCGTCATCGATTAACCTTTGGAATATTCGTGCAGGAATTCTTAAGACGAAAGGAATGCAGAAATGCTCGTGGAAACCAATTGCGGTTTTAGGAATGTCGTCATCAACAATGGCTGTTAAGTTATATGCTCTAAACAAATCGATTTTCGAAAGAAAAACAGCTGTGCTTTTTATGGTAGCTGTCAAATCGTGTATTTGAGACAACGGGTGACGATTAAGAATTGTTTTCGCATTCAAAAGATAGAGTTAAGTAAATTATTAATTTTGGCATATCTTAGGCTATTGGTAATTTGATATATATATATATATATATATATATATATATATATATATATATATATATATATATATAAACAACAGAAAAATGACTACACAGAAGAATGAGGATGATTGAGTCATAAAGTGATGTTGCTCTAACAAATGATTGTCCACTGTAAATAATGTAAATTTAGAATGAATACATTGGGATAATTTTATTCAGTTCTAAGCTTTTGTAAAACATGAAACGCCTTTTATAACATGTATTCGAATGAGAACTACTACGCCCACAAATAATCTTCCATAGTCTTGACATAAATGTGTTTTTCATTCTTCTAGATAGTATTGTTGATCGAACCTTCCATATCACTCTTAAACCTGTCTATTATTTGTCATCCTACAAGCTTCCAAAAATCAGTCAAGTTTTTATGGATTCAAGATGATGGTGGCCATAGTGTTTACAAGTGGAACCTTCAGTAACTTATTATCGTGCAGAATCCACTTGCTGAATTAGAGATGTATGATCTCTTAAAATTAAATGTTACAAATTTATTATGAATGAAGGCATAGTCAACTGACTATGTTCATCAGTAGGTAGTTTTAACTACAATTTCTCTTTAGGAAAAGCTCGGTTTTGTACTACCTGCGCACATCTTACTTACAACATTCACTGAGTTTAGAAATATAGAGCTTCATATGGACGTCAGTTGAGTACGATAATTTTGGAATCATACCGTAAAATCAGAACGGCAACTCATTCTATTTATCCAAAGCATTCAGAAGAATAATTGCTTATACAGTAGTAAAATATATGCGTCAAAAACACTTTAGAGTAATTGTCTACAATTTCGTAAACATGGATCGATGTTGTTATAATCTATCGAAATTCTGTTTACTAGGTCGTCGTTATTTACGTACTGCATATAAAAGTTTTCTCTTTTGTCACTTAATGGTCACATTCAAATGAAGTGTATAAGACAAGGCTACGTACTGTGAACAAGGATAAATAATATATTCGTTGTATGGGTTCTTCAACATCAAAGCATCCCTTCAATGCGTAAGTATAATATTTGGGAGTACATAATCTACTGAAAAACCTATTGTAGGAATTTTTTTTCAGAAACGTTTCTCGCTGACATAGGTTGTGACGAGTAAGTTGAAAATTTTACTATGTCATCTTTCTGTAGTAAAGGTACCGTTTTGTGCAAGGATGAGGGTTTGCCATGTCTAAATGGTGGAGTTTGCGCACTTTATATATCCGAAATCGATGACAAGTGCATTAAACGCTGCAAGTAAGTGTTAATTAATTACTTGTGACTGTTTGAAAAGTTTTGTGATCACTTTATTTCAACTCACTGGTATGGAATTTTCAAAATCCTATTCCACTTTGTATTCAAGTCTGTGCAAATAATTTTTACTATTATCAGATATCACAATTTTGAAAAACGTTTCTGGAGAGAGTTTTTCAATCATATTTGGTTAAACTTGTTTCTTACAAGATATATTTTAAATGGTTTAACCACTGGGAGGTGGTCGCCGTATAAAAGAAGCTTCACATATTTCAATTTTTTCGTTTCCAGTAAGAAAATATAAAATGAAGAATAATTAGACTAAAACTGATGTCTTCGGAGTATGTAGAGAAAAAGATTTTAGTCTTTAAACTCAATGAAGTCGTTGGGTACAAACAGAGTAACTTCAAACTTTAAGTTCTTCTTACATCTAACATATATTATGACTCAATTCTTTTTAACGTCTACAGTAATATGAATTCTATGTCATTTTTTTCGCTAAATCTGCAAACGATTTTGTTGTTTCTAGTAGTTTATAATGATAATGTTTGCAGTTCATATTAAGAGTTTTATTCTGAAAATCTCATTTTTACATTTATAAAGGCAAGGCCTATATGTTGAATCAATCTACTCATATACAATAAAGCAATTCCAACAAAACTAGGATGACTCATTCATCTTGTTCGGCTTTATATCACAAGAAATCTGACAAATTTTTTTCAATGAAGGGATAGCTCTCTGCTTCTTTGATATGTGTTGTAAGAGTGAATGTGACAAATAGTTAGTAAACGATTTGAAGAGGGTAACGAGCATGTTTGACTGAAACCTCTACAGCCAAATAAGTGACCGAGTTGAAATAATTTAAAGTAGCCAAGCTTTATATGAAAAAAGCGCCGCAGATGACTAATAAAATGATTATACTTACCAACATTTCGGCATAACGCAGAAATCATAACCAAGTTATTTCATATGAAGCTTCGGATTATTGTTCAAAAATTTAGGCTTAAATTATTTATATACGTACTTTGGCATCCTTATCCATTTTGACCACTAATTTAATTCAAGGAAAATTGTGAAGCGATATGTCATTACGTCTTAAAATTCATACTGCGTTTAAGCTAATATTGTATTACTTTGGGAATGTCAAGTTTTTGTTTGTGTAGTTGCCTCTAATTTTATGTTCTATGTCCTTTTAATACGTTTGACAGGTTGGCTTTTAATCGGAGTTAGAAACTAAAATAACATCCATCCAAAAACTTTTAACAGTGAATGTACACAGAAAGTTTTACTTTCGGTCTATTTAAATTTCTAAATTATTATGACAAATTCCGTTCAACATTATGTAGTGTGCAGCATCAAATTTTATACCTACCACCTTTTAGAGTCAAGAGAAGAAAGTAGTTAGTGACTGCAGTCTTAATCCTTACCTGTATGCACCATTTTGATTTTCAGGCAGTGTTAGCTGTGTAAGATGAATGGTGATATACTCGATTGAGAAATAGTTTATGGAATGAAAATATCGAACTCCTTTGAACATTCCTATTTAATACTACTGCTAAATGAACTATTCGCCATCTGTTGATGATATATCAACAACTGATATCACAGAGAATTTTGATTAATTTGGTACATTCAACTCAGGTGACTTACAGATTTATGTGTTGTTAAGCTGTGTTGGCATTATAAAAATAAATCATTGACATCTACAATAGGAAACATGACACATGTTTAGTAGTTGATAATTTTATGGAATCCGCACCACATTACCAGCACGTTTTGATAGTAAAACTCTGATTTGAGCCTTAAATGTTTGAAAATAGTGACTTTCTATGTGAAAAGGTGAGTATTAAGAGGACATATGTTTTCTTCGGACAGAAATAAGTTACGTAAATGTGTTTGATCATTGCAAAACATTTATTTCCCCACAGTTATTAAAAAATTATGACTGATATTATTTTGCCTATCACATTTTTGATAACCATGAGCAAACGGATTGAAATACATAATGTATAAATATACAGCAACTTATAGAAATCAAAGTATATGATTGATCACGGGATATATTTGTCTATCTAGTGTTTACAGATGAGTGAGAATGAAAACAGTATTAATCAAACTAAACTCCGGGTCAAATATTTTACGCTTTTATCCCTGAATCATTCGAATAATTTTTGTGGTCACTATTGTAAATTAAAAAATCCGTATTACGAGTAGTTTATTGATGGATCCAATTCACTCCAATATTAATTTACTTTGTCTTCATAACAAATACACAGAGAACATGTTCAAAACAATTCATTTCTGTATATGGGATATTATCTACAGACAATTCATCTTACTTGAACTAATCATTGAGAAACTACTGGGAGATACTAGGCATACCGAAAGTATGACTTACTGGAACAGTGATTCATAAAAGTTCGATTGTGTCATTAGATTATGTTCCTTTATTCTCTTGACACTCAAGAAAAATATCAACGAAAACTGTCCGGTTTCATGGGCTTTCGATTTTTTTATGGCAGTGTAGCCTTAAAGAACTTTTTATGAAAATAATTACATTGCATTGACTGCAGCAGTACTGTATTTAGAAGGGCTTGTTCGAAATATAAAGTTTTTTACTTACTTAAAATATAATGGAAACAAAGAGGAAGCATTTGATGAATTAAATTAACACAAAATATAGTGCTTATGTTACGAAAGCGATCAACAACTATTGTTCCAACGTTAAGATAAGACAGCTAGCCAGCTGATACATATTTTGATAACGTTTCAGGTAGAACCAACTCATGATCCAAAATTTTAGGCTTAAGTTTTATTTACTGTGAATGGTCAAAAACATTAATCAAATTTCGTAAGTTTCACTAATTTGCTAGGTGTTTGCGACCACTTACATTACAAATAGTGAATTTTGGTTTCAAGTTACTACAAAAATAAGTACGTTCAGAAAACGGAAAATATTCCTAGGTTTGAGCTGACTTTGACCTTTAGAAAAGTAACCACGGATAACGAAGCAAATTAAGTGCTCATCATTCCCTAACCAGCTCTATGAATATGATGAAAAACGAACTTCGGATTTGAACAAATAATTCTGGTCTACTTTTACTCACCAACGAAATCTAATGACTTAAAGTCAAAAATCAGTAAGGATGAAGTGTTTATTAGATCATAGATATCAGTGAATGATTCACATAGAACAGGTGGATACTTCTGTGCAAAAAATCGACAAAAATAGGCCAAAGTGATAGGGATTATGTTGGTCAGAAAGCATTTTAAAGTGAAATAAATAAATAACAAAAAATAACCTCCTTGTTACTTAAACTCTTATCTTACTAGATTTCATTAGAAAGACAAAATGATGTGTGTATCAATAATGGTTATTATTTTCATCTCTCAAACATCTATGCTGTTATATATGTTATATATGTATGGAAACTCACAGGAGTACATTGAAAAACTGGTAGGCTAAAATGATTCTTGAAGGTAGAAGCTAATTTAGAAGGATAGCGGGGAATCCAGTGAAAGTAATAAAGTAAATGTTTTTACAAAATATCTAGAACACAAGATTTAAATGTAAAAACGGTTAACTAAGTAAAAACAATTTACTTATAAGCGAAGGGATAAGTGATTATATTGATTAGAAATTATACGTTTACACATGTATTCATAGGTCAATAACTGTTATTAGTTTCATGTTTAGTGAATTATTCATAGTTTATTAAGTATATCAGATATGTTGTATTACAATTTTAAGCATCATGTGAACTCATTACCATACACCATGTGAATATTGAAAAAAGAACTGGTAATTTTGTCGACGTAAATTAGACATGAATAACTGGAGAAAACAACTAGAAACTTATCAGATTGACCAAAAGCGAATTAAACTCTACGAATCCCATGACCGGGCAGTATAGTAAAGACTATATCTTTTAAATAACATCTATGAACTACTTAACATTGGATGATTTCCATATATGTGTTCTCGAAAAAACGATCTTTTAGTACGCAAAGGATTTTTTAGTCACAGGATTGGTTGAACTTATGATAATAGTTAGAAATATTTCTATTTACTCCCGAGTTACGTCATCTACTCAGAACTAATCTATAAACTTATATTTGTATGTAGTTTTGAATTTATGGACGGATGGGGGCTTAAATGATATCGCGTCATTTATTTTGGTCATAATGCTTGGACTACCATTTTAAATCAAGTCATTTATGCTAAAGAAAGAAAAGTGTTTACGCAAGCCGATATCTAAGTCGAAATAGCTACAACAAAAAAATGATCAATTTATTATTAAACGGTATAACAAAAGGTATAAACTCTGGACAATTATAATAGTACTTAGTTTGTTGCATTTTAAACATGTTTGTCTAGGATATAAAGAATCTAAACTATAGGCCTTTATCTGTCACTTTACTTTATCGTTATAAAATGTTTCTCTGGACAAATTGGTTAAAATGTTATCTTAGGTAGAATTGTTATTTTTCTGATGATCACAATTTTTTTTCATCCTGTACCTAAAAAGATATCGCCAAAAAATTAAGAATTTGTATTATAATAAATCATTCATACGCTTTCATTCCACTATGCGAAAATGAATATACAATGAGCAAGCTGTAAAATATATTTTTTTATCTTGAAGTAATACACTAGCTATTTAATAGAATGTAAAGTTTATTTCTTCTTCATCCAAGCAAACTGAGAATCAGTAGTTATTATACTTATATGATGATTAATAAATGTGAAAATTACAATAGGATTCATAGGAGACTTTATATTAACCAATTATCTTTTTCAGATTAGTTTCTACTTGGCAGTTTGTTTGTTAATAATTAATGGTATAACCTAGTGTAATTTAAGTTTTCTGACTAAAGTGCTTTCAGATCATCTAAGTATATATGCATATATCCATATAGATCATTCCGATTTTACAAAACCTCTGTTACAATAAATTTCGAATAAACATAAATGATATTTATATTAGTTTAAAAAATGACAT